TTCTCAAGTTGGTGCATCATCACTTCACACTGCTGCTGAGTGTGATCACACTTAGATGATATTTCCTTTGGTGTGAACAATACTGGAAGAACTCACTCTGCCCAATCAGAAGTGAGTTTGTAAACAAAAGCCACATGATTCATGAGTTAAAACCGCAACTTTAGTTCAGTCTGACAGGATTGTCTGTGGCTTCTCATATGTTCAGAGCACATACAGTAGATGCACATAAAGAAGCAGCTGAATGTGAGAATCAGTCCAGATTGTGGTTTGCCCTTGTTCCTTTTTTAATGCTGTTACCCAAGCATGAGGGACTGCTGGTTATCAGACAACATCTGATTCCTTCTGCCTGTTAAGCCTTGTGTTTTGAACTCGATACCTGTTGCTGGCTCAGACCATATTTTCACTGGGGGGGAACATAATCTCACTGAAGGTTTCTGGATTTGATTTGTTCTATTACAAGCCAGAATTAACCAAATGAAGGGAAGAATATTCTACTCTAAACATGACTGTGTATATGAAGCTTCATTTCAGTTGGTGTCTCTATTGTGTTTCTGTCGTTTTACTTCAGTTCAATTTAACATTGAGTGTCTATGTTTGTGTGTGGATCAGAGCGCAGCACAGTAAACTTAGCCAAGCCTCTGGCTAGCAAACATCATGGCCAATGCAAATGAGATGCCCCTACTTTACCATTAAGGTCTGCTGTTTGGGAACACTTTGGCTTAATGAAATACAACATTGGACAAAGACTCTTACGTAATTGTTTATTGTGCACCGGTGTGAGCACATCTCACCACAGTGTAAAATAAACAAATTAATGGCAGCCAGCATTTCAATGACATGATAGTGAACACAAGTAATAATGTAATGTGCACACTGAATAATGGTGGCAGTCTTGCCTGAAAGTGGCCCTGCTCCTACACCATCCATCTGTGTATAAAGGTTTCACCCAGACTGTTACAGCACAGAAACACCACTGGCTCCTCTTCTACGTGTGTAAACATTTGTGTTTATAGACTGTTTGATGGGACGTCCAGGTCCACATAAAAATTATATATATTGGGATGTGTTAAAGGGGGCAACAGGTAATATAATCAAAGTGCTTTTGAACTAGCAAAAGGAAAATAAACTTTCCCTTTTGAGTAATAAACCAAACACTGTCCATATGCAGGAAGGAAATAAGAAAGGAACAGATAACACTCAGGTGAAGGATTGTAGGAGAGAAGTGGGACAACCCTTAATGAGGGAAATGAATCACTGAAAACTGGTTTTACACACACACTTTGCCTTTCTATAAATTCGGGGGCCATTACATTGACTTACATTAACTGGAGACTGACCCTGACCTTAACCACTAACCCTAACCTCACCCTAACCTTAAACCATGTCATCACTAAAATGTAATGATTTATATTTTGCTTTAGTCCCCATAAGGAGATTGGGTCCCCACAGTGGGACTGTGTAAACAGATGTAAGTCTTCATGAAAAAGACCAGGCCACACAATGCACACACAGACACAGAATACGTCAGCTGACTTGACAAGTACAGCTGACAAAAAAAGACCTACCTGAATGCATTTGGAATTACAAACAGATTAAGGCTGGGAGGTATATCGACTTTGTAAGGCATATCGATATTTCAGACGAGGTGTATGATAAGACAATGGCATTTATATCGATACTGATGTTGTGTCACCTAACCCGTTTTCTTCTCTTGGTGTTTGCGTTCTCCTCCTTGACACGCCGCAAAGCCCACAGAGTGCAAAACCCACTTCCCCGCTGCATCATTACACAAAATCTGACCCACTCTCACTCACAACTTTGCCTCACAACATGGAGGGAGACAATGTTACTACCAAGGAAGCCCTGGTTTGTAAAAAATCTTGTCAAATCTCTTCCACCATTTACAGCAGCACCATAAACAGCAGTATGAAGCATGTGTTAAACTTTGTGTGGCTGCTGCAACCTCAGTCTCAAGGCCTTTGCTGCCTGAAAACCCCTCTGCCATGAAAGAAATGTACTGCAAGCCTTATTTACCCATGGTGTGCCTTATGAAAAGAAGAAGTGATGTGATATAACTAAGGCGATGGCTTAACACACTGCTAAAGATACGGCCCTTGTAACAACAGTGGACCAATGATGTGCATACTATTAGAAGCTTAAAAAAAAAAAAAAGCTTCTAATAGCCATTGACCCAAGACACCAGGTGCCCAGTTGCAACTGATTTGCATGAGAACTGGCAGACACTGACAAACCATGTAGTCAAGCAGGACATGCGGGCCATGTATGAGTTTGACAGAAGCAACATTTAAATGTGCAGTCATTTAAACACACACATCCGTATAAATGACCTGCATCATTAAAGAAAATGTAAAAGATTTTAAATACATTTCTCAATTATGTATTTCAGACAAAGAGAGACTTTACCCTTTCACCTAAACATCTGATGTGCAGCTACCTCTTGTTAAATTTGACTATAATTTTTTTATTTACATGTACTGAAGCTGCATTCT